GCGCATCGGCAGCGGGGAGGGCGGCCAGGTGCGTGGGCAGGTGGGGACGCGCGGGAACCGGTAGCCCAGGACCTCCGCCAGAGCCGGGGTCCGGTCCGGTCCGGTCCGGACGCCGCGGGGCCGCGCTCCCGGGGCTCCACTCCCGTGCCTGTGCAATCCGGGACGGAGACGGAAACGACCTGCCGGGGCCTCGGGGTGGCCGCAGTCTCCTGAAGAGGAGAGCTGGTTTCAGCCTCACTTCTCCTGTGTTTTACTACCGTGCTTTGGCGTTTAAACAACTTTGGGTGTGGGAGTGGAGGGTGGGGGGCGGTCTGTGCAATTCATTCTTTTCCGTTGGCATCTCAGATTATTAATTGAGAGAACCGGTGAGTTAAAGAGATGAGTCACTTGTGTTACTGAAGTTCCCCTGGAGTGAAAAGGACAGTTCCCTCAAAGGTTATGCTTTAAGGCTTCGATGTGTTTAGGAAGTGTCGTGCAGCTGAGCAAACCCAGCACTGAATGGGCAGTGTGTGTTTACTGAATAGTATTTGTGTTCCACTGTGACTCAGAATGATGGCAAGGCAACAAGCAATAGGTAGCTATTGGGCTCTGAGTTACAGTTTGTTGACGAGGGGCATATACATATTTTGGTAATAAACTGACAGGTTCCTGGGAGCAGTGAATTAATCAATATTCCAGAGGCCTTGGTCTGCTAATTTCCTGTGAGATCTTGAGTCAGTGAAGATACTTAACTTCCCGAGTTCCAGTGTTACCCTGCTCAGACAGAGTAAGGATAGTTTTCCTTCTGTATTTCACAGGGTTGCACTGACATTGAAATTAAGATAAGACCCTATAGCCCTACAATGTAAGATGTTTGTGTTTTAAAGGATTCCAGTACAGTTAATCTGATACCTAAATAAAGTTCAAGTGGCCAGGCGGTGGCGCACGCCTTTAACCCAACACTTGGGAGGCAGAGGCAGGCGGATCTCTGTGAGTTCCCAGAAAGCCAGGGCTACACAGAGAAACCCTGCCGGGGAGGGCGAGGATAGTTATGTGAAAACTACAAAAGCAACTATTTTCAAATACAAAGTACATGCAAAGATAAATGTAAAATTAAAACGTATGAGTAACAGCCTTAACATTTGTAGATAAGCCATCACAAGAGTTCCTCACAGTTGGATGGGTCTTGTTTTTAGAGAGTATGTGATCCTTGACCTTGTTGCTATCATTCTGCAAAATGATGCACATGGGGAAGTGTTGCTTGATCTAAAAATAGCATTAGGGCTATCAATCGGCACAGGGCCTCTTGTTGCTTTAACATTTTCCAATTACAGCTTACTGAGTTCTGTGTGGGACCTGAACTTAAAATAAAAATTTTGCGGAGCGGTGGTGGCACACGCCTTTAATCCCAGCACTCGGGAGGCAGAGGCAGGCGGATCTCTGTGAGTTCGAGGTCAGCCTGGGCTAGAGTGAGTTCCAGGAAAGGCACAAAGCTATACAGAGAAATCCTGTCTTGAAAAACCAAATAAAATAAAATAAAATAAAATAAAATAAAATAAAATAAAAATTTGCTATGAAAATTGTGAGTCATCTTAGGAGATTAGTGTAGTCTATGCAGTGTTTATTTATTTATTTATTTTGGTTTTTTGAGACAGAATTTCTCTGTCTAGCTCTGGCTGTCCTGGAACTCACTCTGTAGACCATTCTGACCAGTCTGGCCTTGAACTCACAGAGATCTGCTTGCTTCTGTCTCCCAAATTCTGGGGTTAAAGGTGTGTGCCACCATGCCCAGCTCTACACAGTGTTTAAAGTTGGGAGGTGCTTTAATTCCAGCACTTGGGAGGCAGAGGCTGGTAGAACTCTACTGGGCTAATCTGGTTTACTACATAGTGAGTTCAAGGCCAGCCCATGGGCTAGGAATTGAACCTGGGTCACTTGGAAGTAGCCAGTGGTCTTAACCATTGAGCCATCTCTTCCGCCCAGCCACTGTTTCTTTTTCTTTGTTTCTATTTGTCTTCCTTCCTTCCTCCCCTCCTTCCTTCCTTTCTTTCTACATTTCTTTCTTTGTCTCTCTTTCTCTTTCTTTTCTTTCCTTCTATCTTTCGTTCTTTGTATCTCTCTGTCTTTCTTCTCTCTCTCTCTTTCTCACTTTGTTTCTTGAGGTAAGAGTCTAACACACATGTAATTACAAAGAAATAGAGGCCATGGGTTTAAGAAAGAGCAAGGGGTTTATGGGGAGGGTTAGAGGGAGGAAAAAGGGAAATGATGTAATTATATATTAATTAAAATATATATAAAAGCCTAAAAGGTTTTGGGAAACTGTTCATCAAGCGTGGGTGGCATTCTCTTATAAAGAATATTGAATCTTTGTAGTTTGAAGAAATGTCAGACATTTGTCAGAGCATCCGAGACTTAATTATGGTAGAGAATGGAGCCTGTGCTGGAGCCTGCAGGTATATTACTAGTATCACTGCTACACCTGTCATCAGACATTCAGAGGGGCTTCTGTCTTTCTTCATTCCTGTTATCACCTTCCACGGGCAGGATGTAAAAAGTCTGTCACAGAGTCAGTGGAGTAGTTCATTCATTTCTCCACTGTATTCACTTTGTAAACAAACCACTCCAACCAAAGCAGACAAGATCTTTCTTCCCTCCAGTTGGCTCATGCTTATTTCAGTGCTGAGATTATTCCTGCCTTTGTGTTCTGACTCCACAATTAGGGTAGCTCTTCTCAGACTGGCCAGATTGTCTTGCTGTAGTCATGGGCTGTGTGTATACTCTTTACTTACCCAAAATGTCACTTGCTCTCTGAAATCACAGCTGTTCTTTCAGCCCCAGTAGAGACCTTGATTAAGCCACTGTAACTTTTCCTAAACACATTTTACATCAGTGTTGAGACTGAGGCTTTGCTTGCCATTGGGCATGTTCTCTTCAGAGTTTTTTTTTTTTTTTCCTATGCTTCTCACTTTTCCTAATGTTGGCCAGCTTGTCTTTCGAACCAAACCAAACTACAAAGACACCTATTTATAACACCGTAACTCTTTTATAACATCTTAATGACCTGCAATTACCTTATTCGTTAGAAAACAATGTCTTTGATCAGAAGGTGAGCTATCATTTTCACAGCCGAATGCTCATTTCCTTGTGCTGTACTTTGGATGCAGCAAGTGGTCAACACACTTGAATGCCTGAGTAAATGTCTGAAAAGGCAGAAGGAGGCTCCTCCGCTGTATAACTTTGTGCAGATGACTTCTGGCTTTCATTGTCTTCAGAATAGGGGCACTAATAGTTCCTACCAAATGGTTTTGGTAGGTGAAATGAGTAGGTAAGGCACTGACCAGAAAAGTAAACTATATAAATAATGGCTCATTTTATTGTTATGCTGCATTTTATATTTAAAAACATGAAAATGTATTTGTCTTAGTTGTTTCATTTTAAGAACATTTCTTCCTTTAATGGAATAAGACCCATTATCCTTAAAGTTGATCTTTCTAAAGGTTCTGATAATCGAGTGTCTTGATAGTTATCCCTTCTTTCTAAATTAATAGTAGTTGTATATACTCTGTTTTCTTCACTTGTAAGCGTTTTGTTTTGTTTTTTTGAGATGGCTGAGGGTCACTCATTTTTGTGTTTTCTGAAGTTCCTTGTGTCAGTATGCTCTCAGTTCATTAAATGAAAGTTGAAGGAATGGGCCTGCAGTGGAAAGTGGAATTCTGCTTTTACATTATCCTTTTAAAGATGGATAATACTAGACAAAGGTGTCTATTATATAATTACTGTCATTTATTAATTATGGCTGGACTTAAAATTTCAGTTTCTTTCTATTTTTCTTTTTGCTTTCTTTTTTTTTCCCCTGAGACAGGGTTTTTCTGTATAGCCTTGGCTGTCCTGGAACTCATTCTGTGGAACAGGCTGAACTCCAACTCACAGACATCTGAAGTGTGATCCTAAGTAGTCTTACCAATAAAAACCAGGAATCGGATATCGGGATAAAAGCTGAAAGGCCAGAGAAGCAAAGGAGCAGCCACAGTCACTTCCTACCTGTCTGAATCCTCTGACCCAAAGGGCCAAGATCCCAGCCTTATCACTTGCTGTCTCCTTTCTGTACAGACCTCCAGACCTCTATGGTTAACACAAAATATCAATCATAACAGAGATCCACCTGCCACTGCCTCCTGAGTGCTGGGATTTAAAGGCATGTGCGGTAGTCAAAATTTCAGTTTCTTAAGTGTTGTTTTTAACAAAGTTCTGTGCTGTTCATTGTCTTGCCCTGAGCAAGTTGATCAGCTGAGAAGGAACTAAATGATGCGTTGTTGTTTATGGATTTCAGAACTTAAAAAGTCAGTGACTGTAGCTAAGGAAGGAGACTGCATTTGCAATCAGACCTGGGTTTCAGTCTTTGCTCTAGTATCCTTGGAAAACTCATCTTCTAAGAGAGGAATATGGATGGTACCCTTCTTAGAGTTAGGAAGAAGGTGAATAAGATCATGTAAAATGCCTAGCCTAATGCCGGGCGGTGGTGGCGCACACCTTTAATCCCAGCACTCGGGAGGCAGAGGCAGGCGGATCTCTGTGAGTTCGAGGCCAGCCTGGGCTACCAAGTGAGTTCCAGGAAAGGCGCAAAGCTACACAGAGAAACCCTGTTTCGAAAAACCAAAAAAAAAAAAAAAAAAAAAAAAAAATGCCTAGCCTAGTGTTTGGTAAATGATTTCAAGATGCTTATTACCTTATTTATCACTTAGATTTATTTATCATGTGTGAGAGTGTTGTGTCTGCATGTGGGTGCCTGGTGTTCTTGGAGGTCAGGAGCATCATCTGATCCCCTGGAATTGGAGTTAAGGATGGTTGTGAGCCACCATGTGGGTTCTGGGAACTGAGCATGGGTCCTCTGCAAGAGCAACAAGTGCTCTTAACTACTGAAGAATTGCTCTGGTCTCAACCTCATATGTCGAAGGAAAGTTAAAAATATTTGAGAGTATTATTTAAGCACATTTGGGTGCGTTGTTCTTATTATTTTGAGACAGATTCTCATGTAGTCCGAGCTGGGTCCTCCCTAAGGACTCGTGACACTCCTAGCTTGGCTTTTTTGTGCTGGGATTACAGGTATATGCACCACTATGCCCAACTTAGATTTTGGACAAATTTTTGCAACCAGTTCTTTCCAAACAGCAGTGACAGAATTCTAACTCTTTAGTCCATAGATTACCAGTACATACTAGACCTGCATGTCCGTCAGCCACCAGTGTCCGCTTCTGTCATGTCCATCAGTGATGCTGTTATTTGCACTCAGCTCACATGGGTGTTCCTCATCCACAATGTCCTGTGACATTTTACAAAAATGGATAATCAGAAGGAATTGACCAACCAAAATAAAATATGACAAAGAAATGACAAATGATAATGTTGGATATAAAATTTAAACCAAATACAGAGCTGTAAACGGCGCGTTTTGGGGGAAGTTAGATAGATGATGCAGGATTGAGAGCATTTGCTGCTCCCACAGAGGGCTAGAGTTCAGTTTCCAGAGCTCCGATGGGGTGGCTTACAGCTGCCTTAAAATTCCAGCTCCTGAGGTTCTCATGTCCTCTACTGGCCTTTGTACTGCATATACATGCACAACACACACACACATGTCTATCATCTTAGGGGGAGTGGTTCATGCTGTAAGTAAAGTACTAGGCTAGACATTAGGCATTCAGCAGTAAATATAAGATGGTTTTTTACCATTTGAGACAAATATTTCATAACTAATCACATAATTTAAGCTATAAAGACTAATAAAAATAAACAGTACTATGCATAGGGGGAGATAAAAGAGGGTCAGATTATGTTAAGAAGGAGTCTATTCTAGCAATAGTAGATATCAAAAAGGCTTCAGACTAGGGAACAACCAATACAGATTTGAGCACATGACAGTGTTGGTCTCCAGATATGTACCCAAAGTTAAGACAATTTTTTTTTTTTTTTTTAAGATTTAAAAAAAAAAAACTTGTGTGTGTGTGGGTTTATGCATGCATGTGTAGTGTCCACAGAGGACAGAAGAGGGCATTCGATTCCCTGGAGCTAGAGTTACAGGCAGTTGTAAGCCTCCTTATGTGGGTGTTAGGAACAGAACTTGGTGTCTGTTCAATCTTGTAACTTCTAAACCATCTCCTGTCTACCCTCGTAATGATCCACGAGGTCCTGAAGAACTATGGAGAATTGGCTTTTAATGAAGGCAATTCTTGCTTTGCTTTGAATGGTAGGATGGAACCATAGAAATAGGAGCTGATTCTATGCAAAATAATCTTTACAGCTAATAGGAAAACTTCAGTTTTTTTTATATCCATTATATTTTTCTTCTTTTGGTTAAAACATTGAGAAGTCTCTAACTCTTGGTTACTGTACTAGTTTTCATTGCTATGGCTAACTTCCTGAGGAGAAGAAACTCAGAGGAGGAATGGCTGTTTGGGCTTACAGTTTAGGGAGGGCTTTTATGTAGTTCATTGCAGTGAGGAAAGCTGGTGGGCCAACCGTGAGGCAGCTGGTCACACTGTATTTGCCCTCAGGAAAGAGGGCCAGACATTAGATCTCAAGGCTAGCTCCAGTGACCCACTTCTTCCAGCAGGGTTCCTTCCTCAAGGCTCTACAGCCTTCTCCTAGGGAGTACTGTTCAGTCACAGTACAGGGGTGGGCTGGGGCAGGGCTACCGCAGTTCTATTGAAGGCACTACACACTCTGCCACTGAGCTGTAACCCCAGCTCAGATTCCTTTCTGAACTGATAGTTGAGTTGACAGCCTTGCTTGCTTGTTTGCTTGGTTTATCTCTCTTTTTCTCTCCCTTACTCTTCTTTCTCTCCCTCCCTCCCTCCCTCCCTCCCTCTCTCTCTTTCTCTCTCTCGCTCTCTCTCTCTGGTTTTTGAGACAGGGCTTCTCTGTAACAGCCTTGGACTAGCTCTGCCGACCAGGCTGGCCTCGAACTCTCAGAGATCCATCCTCTTGCGTTTATCTCTGAGTGCTGGGATTAAAGGCATGCACCACCGTTGCCTAGCTGATGTCATTTCTTAAGCTTTTTATAAATATTTATCTTGCAAACTCTTGTGTTTTAGTCTTTATATTTATTTTTTTATTTTTTGAGGTAGTCTTTCATTCAGTGTGGAGTCCTGGGTGGCCTGGAACCCACCTGCATGCCTCTGCCTCCAGAGGGGTGGGATTAATAGCATGTCCCACTATGCCTGGCCAATAAGTGTTTCTTCTGTGTAACAATTCTTAAAAATGTTTCTGATTAAGGAAGGCCTGAAACTGATTTCCTTGTTTGTTCTTTTAGGAATGCTTTAAAGGAAGTTGGGCTACTCACAAGTTACTACATAAGAAAGCAAGTAAGTAGCATTGCTTATCTTCATGCCCTTTGCCTTTGATGCAGCTTTTGTTCGAGTGTTGGGACTTCTCTTGGTTCTGAAAGTGTAATTCTGACATCTGGAATTATTATTCCTTGGTAATGTGTAATAAAACATGTCTAATGACATCTGGTTTATCTTGTTTCATGTGGTTAATATGAAAACGTGCGATCTTTGCTAGGATAGATGGATCTAGCTTGGCTAGTACTTGATAATGCCCTAATCTTTTCGTATCCTCTTGTCTTGGCTAAAGTGTCTGCATATTGTAGGCCGACGATACAGGGGCTGTTTGATTTTGTTGCTCTGTAGCGGATAATGGCTTTAAATCCCTGACCTCCCTGTTTGTACCTCCCAAGTTCTGGATTATAGGCATGTGTCACCACACTGTGTTGATTTTTGGGGTGTCTTGTATTACCCCAGAAACTAGTAACAGTTTCTTAGCTGTTGTAACCACATTGGTGTGGCTATTCTTCAGATAGCCTTTCTGCATCAGCTCCTCATCCTGTAAATGTAGTTCTTAGTGTGGCTGACCTGAGACAGCCTGCTACGGTTACCTGGAGATCGACAAGAACTTGCTGTGCAGAAAGCATTGCCATCTGATGCTACGGTTTGGCAGGTAGTGTGGTGGTTGCTGCAAACTTTCTGTCTTGATTTTGTTGCCTTGTACTCATCTGCCTCTGTTTTCTGGGAGTTTATTGGTCTAATAAAGTTTGTTAGTTTGCCTTACCAAAGCACCTGAGGTTAGCCAAACCATCTTTGAAGGAAAAGGAAATACAACTTTAAAATGATTTTTGTGGTGGTATAAAGTGATACCTGTGCTTAATGGGAGTTCTGGGTTATCCACGGGAGGAAATGTAGTCTGCGAGTGGGAAATAGTGAAAAGTTTACCAAGGCACAGAGGAGGAGATCTACTTCTTTTGGTTGGCTCCTTTGAATGGAAGTGTTGTACAGCTTGGAGGTCATGTATTTCGGGCCTTATATCACACGAAGTCCAATGCTCTTTGGTGTGCTGCCTGGATTTTGTCTGAACCTATTGCATTGTGGTTTTTGAAAAATAGCATACAATGTCCTTTGCTTTCACAGTTGTTTACAAAGTTTTGCTACCAGCGTCAACTCATTTCAAGATTACTAGGAATCAAATGCTTGTTTAGCATTTGGGACTTGGGTAAAATGGTTACTGAAATGTAAGCTTACTTAAATTTTCAGGTGTAAATTTCTAGTAAGTGAGTTCTGTATAGAGATTAGAAAAGAACTTGCTGTGTTTCAGCCTTGTTTGTCTTGATAGCTTTTGTGTTGTTTATGAGGTCTGCTTTCAATTCTCCTTGGAAAATACTGTTTGTAGAAGGGCAGGAATGGAGACCAGGTGGGAGATTTGAAAGGCTTCGTTTTCTGTTCCTTGTTTCCTCCCTAGGAGTATGGTAAGGCAAAGCCATTTTGAATTTGTTTTGAGAAAGAATCTAGATGATTTTTGAAATTGCATTTACCATTTTATGTGTGTTTGTGCATGCATATGCATGAATACATGCTACAAGTGTGGAAGGAAGTCAAGACTTTTTGGGGGGATATGGTTTACTCCTTTTACCTTGTAAGGTGTTGGGGATCAAAATTAGGCTTGGGAAGTAAGTGCCGTCTGGCAGCCCTGAATCTAGTGATGTAGCACTCTGTCTCACCTGAACTTAATGATCCTCCTACTTTAGTCTCCCAACTGCTGGGATGACAGATGTACCACTGCTCAGCAAAAGCCTGAGTCTTGACTGTTCTAGCCTAGATTTAAAGACACACATCCCTAGAGGTTCCTGTTTGACACAAACCACTTCATGCTAGCCTTACATGAAGCAAGTGTCAATTGTTGTTTTGAAGAATTTTCATTAATACTTGAATCTAGTGACAGTGAATGGAGTCCATTTTTGTTTCGGGTTCAGAAATAATTTTGTATTGATAAAAACCTTCACTTGAAAGCCATTATTGGGGGCTGGGGAGATCGCTCTGTGCTTAAGAGCATTGTCTGCTCTTCTAGAGGACCCGGGTTCAATCCCCAGCACCCACATGGCAGTTCACAACTGTTTGTAACTCCAGTTCCAGGGGATATGGTACCCTCACACAGACTTACATGTAGGCAAAACACCAATGCATGTAAAAATACATCTTGGGGGAAAAATAAATAAAACTTAAAAGCCATTGTTTGGTTAAATTGGAATTTTTTTTTTTTATGTAAGTTTGTTGGGTGATTTAGGATCACCACTTTAAATAAGAGCATAGAATTCGGCTGTTAAAAGTCTGAATTTAGATGGGAAGGTTTAGCTCATATTTGATATTTTAAAGTTAAGTTTGTATGAATTGCTGCCATTCTGTTTGAGACTGTACAGCGTGTGTCTGGGTGCTTCTTCCCAGACACTGAGGTCTGAGAGCGTGGACGACTGGTGAGCAGAGCGTGAAGCAGCTGCTTGGTCAGGCTAGGCTGGATGCTGCCTGGGTTTTTGTGCCTGGGCTCTCTGGCTCTCAGCCAAGTGAGAAGTAAAGTAGGTTGCTGCCCGGCAGCCTGATGACTGAAGCATCTTTCTCTCCTCTTGCTTTGACATCTGTCCATCACTCTTTCTCCCAGAAGATGAAAAGGCAAAACGAGAAGTATGTTCCTGGACTGTAGAAGGTGATGTTAACACTGACCCATGGGCAGGTTATCGGTACACCGGTAAACTCAGACCGCATTATCCACTGGTGAGTATGTAAAGTCATTAGAATGGAACATTATCTTTAACCCGTTTTCAGTTTCCTGAAATTGATGCTTGTAACTTGTATTCCAGTAGTGGATCACGAGCAGGGTTGCCTTCAGAAAGGAACAGTGTGCGACAATTGGCAGTTGTGGAAGAAGTGGAGAAGATTTTAGATATAAAGACTAAAACTTTATAAATTTTAAAAAAGAATGGGATAAATAGTCTTTATTTTGGTTTTGGTTTTTTCCTGTGTAGCTCTGGCTGTCCTGCAACGCACTCTGTAGACCAGGCTGTCTGTCCTTGAACTCAGAGATCTGCCTGATTGTCTCCCAAGTGCTGGGATTAAATTAAAGGCATGGGTCACCACCACCTGGTGGGTTAAATACTCTCTATAGACCAGGCTGGCCTCGAAGTAAGTCACAGAGATCCAAATCACAGAGATCCACCTCCCTCTGCCTCCCGAGTGGTGGGATTAAAGGCGTGTGCCACTGCCGCCCGGCTGGGATAATTACTCTTATGGCTGGCACGAGAGTACTGTATAATACTGCTCTTCTACAGTTTTTTGTAGAATGTGACACACTGTAACCGAATGACAGTGGCTTAAGTACCACTCCTATCCCTTCCTGTAGGGAATTTCATGCACGAATAGAATGTGTTTTGATCAGACTCATCCACAGCTCACTCCTCTCTAATTCCTTCACTACATTTCCTTCCCAACTTCATATACTTAAAAAAAAATACTGAGTCCACTTAATGCTGCCATTATGTGCATAGATGTAAGGCATCTACTAGAACATGGGCAAACTGTCAGGGGCTGCATCCCAAGAAAACTGACTCCTTTCTAGCAGGCATCAGTTGCCTATAGCTCCTCTGCCTGGGGTAGGACTTCATGAGCCCCTCCCTGATCCATACTGGCATTTTGGCTTGTTTGATCTTGTACAGGTCTTGGGCATCCATTCACAGCTACTGTCAATTCTTGTGTGCAACAGCCCTCTTCTGTACAGTAAATGCTGTTTTGAGAGGTTCACAACCTCTGACTGGTGGGGAAGACCTTAAATCCAATGAGAAATAGACTCTTGACTCCCAGAGCATCCATGCCATTTTGAACTGGGTACATGGAGTCAGCCTGGTCACGACTAGCTGGAAGGGTTCCTAACTGGGTGAGCTGTGGGTTACTTTCCCCTGCTGATAGCATGCCAGCACTCTCCAGAGCTGTGACAGCCAGCGGTCAGGGAGCGTCCACATGAAGGAAAGCTTGGTTTGCTTAGGACTCAGGAGGTTTGCTGTTTTGATAGGAGGTCTCTCCACATAGCCCTGGCTGTCCTAGAACTCACTCGGTAGACCAGGCTGGCCTCAAACTTACAGAGATCCACCTGCCTCTGCCTCCCAAGTGCTGGGATTAAAGGCGTGCACAACTATGCCTTCTGGACTCGAGGTGTTTTGTTTTTTTTTTGGTTTTTGGTTTTTGGTTTTTCGAGATGGGTTCTCTGTAGATGTAACCAACCGTCTTATTAAATAAGAAACACAGAGCTCAGAGCTAAAATCTCACCCTTCCTCCTGCTGTCCCAGCTTCGCGAAAAGAGAGCTACTTCCTGTCGGTTCGT